TTGTCATCTCCAGGAAGGGAGAAGCCAGGGTAAGCAGGAGGCCAGATGGAGGAAAAATAGAAAGAAAAGAGAAAGAAAGAAAGAAGGAAAGAAAGAAAGAGAGAAAGAAAGAAAGAAAGAGAAAAGAAAATTAAAGAAGGCTCCTTAATTCTTAATTCCCAAAACCCTCCAGAAACTTCTATGACTCATGTGAACTCCAGTTCATCTAAGTCAAGAGAAGCTGACTTTTTAAAAGTAGTTTTAATTTGTGGCAAACATGCAACCCCCACAATGTACGTTCACTCCTTCACCCCCATATTCAGCATTTGTTGGACCAGGTGTGGAATCTTCAACTCCAGCACACATAACATTTATTGAGTATCGTGCTGAGTCCTCAGGACTTGGTTTCTGACCTTGATGAGCTCAGTGTGTGGTGCAAACTAGTATTCTGTTTGTAACTGTTGATCTTTGTAAGTTTTCCATTATGGAGAAAAAATAATTGAGGGGTTTTTGTTGTTGTTGTTTTGTTTTGTTTTTTGCTTTTTTCTAGTCCTGGGAATGAAACCTAGGGCCTCATGCATGTTAGACATGCACTCTAACCATGGTTACTAAGCTATATCCCAAGCCTGACTTAGGCCTGTGGCCTGAGATACTTTTTTAAAAATCTTTTGGAGACAAGGTTTCATTTTCTAGACTGGCCTAGAACTTGCTGCATAGTAGAGAAGGACCTTGAACTCCTGATTCTCCTGCCTCCACTTCCCAGTGGTAGGATCTCAAGGGTGAGCCGCTATGCCTGGTTTTGGGGGGGGGGGGGCGTTGGGAGGGTGGATGAGTTCAGAACTTAGCAAAGCACCAAGCCAACTGAACTAGAAGTTTTTAGGTTGGTTGGTTGGAGAGTTGGTCAGTTTTCTTGAAACAGACTTGTAATGTGGCCCAGGCCTTGAACTGGAGATTTCACTTCTTCTGGGCCTATGATTCAAACCCTCCCCACCACCACACCCAGCTCATCAGTCAGCATTTAAGGAGGAAAGGGCTTATTTCCACAGTTTAAGGGTTTTCTGTTGGGTCTGTGGCAATGTAGTAGTACATGATGGTAGGAACACATGATAGAGAAAGTTGCTCACTTCATGAAGCCAGAAACTTAAAAAAGGAGGAGGGAAGGCCGGGATCCCATTTCCCCTTTGCAGGGACAGTCCCAATGACTAATGTCCTTCCATTAGGCACCAGCTCTTAAAGATTCCACCCCCGCCCAACAGTGCCACTCCAAGGAACCAAGTCCTAAACACATGCCTTTAAGACCCAAGCTATAGCTGAATGTGGTGCACACACCTCTAATCCTAGTTACTCAGGAGGCTGAAGCAGAAGGATTAAAGAGTTTGAGGTCATTCTGGACAACTTGGTAAAATTTCCACTCAAAATAAAATTAACAGGGGCTAGAGAGAGGGCTGGACACCCAGAAGTATCGGCTGTTCTTCCAGAGGACCCAAGTTCAGTTCCTAACACCCACACAGTGGTTTATAACCAACTGTAACTTCAGTTCTGGGGGCTCCAACATCCTCTTCTGGCCTCCTTGGATATCAGGCATGCACATGATACCCAGACATACTTGTACGCAAAACACCAATACACATATAATAAAAAATAATAATAATTAAGAGATTTTCAAAAAACAAACTGGGCATGGTGGCACACGACCTTAATCCCAGCACTCAGGAGGTAGAGGTAGGCGAAACTCTGTGAATTTGAGGCCAGCCTGGTTTACAAAGTGAGTTCTAGGACAGCCAGGGGTACACAGAGAAACCCTGTCTCAAAAAAATAAAAATAAAAATAAAAAAGGGAGTTTTGGAAGGCTGGAGAGATGGCTTTACAGGGCTTGATTTGTATTAGGTTTGGATATCCAACATCATCATAAAAGCTGGGCACTGCAGTATGCATCTGTAATTGCAGTGAGTGAGAGAACTGAGTTCAGTGAGAGACCCTACCTCAAAGGAGTAAGGTAGGTAAGTGTTGAGCATGGAGGTCCTTGTGCCCACAGATCTCCAGGGAAACTAAGAATGTTAAGCACACAGGACTGTCCTCTCAAAAGAATGGATGTATAACCTCCTCTTCCATCCAGAAGACTGGGAATCGGAGGTGACTAACAATATGATGATGTGTGTTATCGGTTGGGCCAGGCCATACCAAGCTCTCACAATCAGGACCAGAGGTGGCTAGTAATCTAAATGACCCTTACACTGCCTATAGCTAGGGGCTCCCTCAAGCTCCCACAACCAGAACCAGAGATATCTAATGGTCTAAATGACCTATACATCATCTGTATAGCCAGGGCCTTTTCTAAGCTCCCATACCCAAGGCTTGAGGTGGCTAATAACCCAAATGACCTCTACACTATCTGTATGACTGAGACCAGGCTGGACTCTTCCTTAGGCCCTTAAGCTTGTACAGGTATCCTATCTCTAGAACCCTTCTTAATGCAAGAAATGACATGTACCCTGAGTTGAGTTTCGATGTAATTATGTGTTCTTCTGCACTGGAATTGTATTACACCACGAAATTTTTTTTTTTCAAATTCTACTGGGTTTAAATATGCCAGCAATAAACTGCCTGGCATCAGTCTTCCTGAAGTTAGATTGTCAATTCGAACTGAGTTTCTTTCTTACCTCTTCTCAATTTGTTTTTCTGCCTGCCTTGACACCTGCAGAGACCCTCTCAGGTAAGTGACTGAGGAAGATATTCTGATATCAACCTTTGTCTTCCACACATGTTTGTATGGGCAAACACACACACACACACACACACACACACACACACACACACACACACATTCAGTCACATGTTCAAGTCTGGTGAAGTCACTCACATTAAGATGTGAATGGATCGTTAGATCTGTGATTAAATCAATGGATTAATTCACTTATAGATTGATAATTTGATGATATTATTAGGATGTGGTGGGAACATTCAGAGATGGAGCCTGGTTGGAGGAAGTAGGTCACTGGTGGCATGTTTTAGGGACTATATATTGTCCTGGGTCCTTTCCCTACCCATCCCCACCGCACCCTTTCTTTCTATGATCTTTGGTCACCATGAACTGAGAAACTTTGCTCTGCCAACCCATTTCCCATGTCTACCAGTTACATATGCCTGGCCCAACCACAACCCAGAAATAATACAACCAGCAGCCCAAGGGCTGAGACCTCTGAATCCATGAGCCAAAATAAGTCTTTCTTCCTTTTAAGTGATTCATCTTAGGTGTTCACGACAGCAAGAAAAAGCTGACTAATGCATGAAGTGGAATCTTAGTCAGTGTTCTATCACTGTGAAGAGACACTATGACCACAGCAACTCTTATAAAAGAAAACATTTAATTGGGGATGGCTTACAGTTTCAGAGGTTTAGTCCATTGTCATCATGGCAGGGAGCATGGTGGCACACAGATAGACATGGTGCAGGAGAGATAGCTAAGAGTTCTATATCTGGATCCACAGGCTGTGGGAAGAGAAAGATTTGAGGCCTGGTGTGGGCTTTTGAAACCTCAGAGCCCACCCCCAGTGACACACTGCCTCCAATATGGCCACACCTCCTAATCCTTTTCAAATAGTGCCACACCCTCATTGAAATGTATGAGCCTATGGGGGCCGTTCTTATTCAGACCATCACAATTGGTATGGGAGAAGTGAGTAGGGCCATTAATGTTAACTTTAACTGATGATGTAGTTCAGGAGCCTTTGGAGCTGGTTTGCAGAAGTGGGACAGAAGTTTAAAGAACCAGACCAGAAAAACCTTGAATGCTGTAGGCAGAGCTCAGTGGATGATGCTAAGTGTGAACTGAAAAGACCAGAATGCTGTCAAGACTGAGCTCATGTGATTTCAGATGCTAATGAGCACTCTGTTGGTTTGCATCTAGAGACCATTTGTGTAGCCCTGTAGCAAAGAACTTGTCTACATTTAGTCTAGAGACTTTGGGGGAGGCTGAGTTAAAAGGTAACAGATTAACCTGACAAAGTAGATTTCAAGACTGTAGCATAATTATTTGTGGTGGTTTGAATGAAAATGGCCCCCATAGGCCCATAGGGAGTGGCATCATTAGGAGGTGTGGTCTTGCTGGAGGAAGTGTGTCACTAGGAGATGGGCTTTGAGGTCTCAGAAGCTCAAGTCTGGCCAATGTGTCACTGTCTCTTCCTGCTGCCTGTGGATCCAGATGTAGAACTCTCAGCCAACTCTCCAGCACCATGTCTGCCTGCATGCTACCATGCTCCCTGCCATGATGACAATGGACTAAACTGTGGAGGCCCAAATTACTCAGGGTCGGAGAATCTGAGCTTACTTTACCCAGCAGGGCTGCATAAGGGGATGATTTTACCACAGGCATGATTACCACGTGTTTGGAAGGCTCTACACTAAGCTGTGCAATGTGCTTTGATCTAGCAAGGAGGAGGTCTTTTGCCCAGCCCCTTGGCATTGTTATAAAAAGCCCTTTTGAATAAACAGAAAAGGCCATTGGGTGTTGACCCAGGCCCTCCCGAAGCTATCCTGTGTTTCTGTCTTTCTTCTCATCAACTAGGTCTCTCTTTCTACCTAATATTTTCTTATCCCTCTCTCCTCCTCATAGGAACTCTTGAAAAGATGGGAGCTGGTCTCCCACAGTAGACCTCTGAACTGTAAGCCAGCCTCGATTAAATGTTTTCCTTTATGAGTTGCTGTGATCATGGTGTCTCTTCATAGCAACAGAAACTCTAAGATAGTATTGCTGGCTGTTTTTAGCCAGGCTTATTATAAGAATTGGGAGCAAAAGAACGGAATGAAAGAACATGAAGAAACTTGCAGTTTGACCAGAAAGGGGGCATGTTAAATACTTTGGAAGAAAAAGGTACAGTTGTTAAGGAGATTAGTGCCATTCTGAAGAACTAGTTTGTACTGGGGCAACAGCAATAATGCCCGACCCCATCTGTATTAGTTACTTTACTGTTGCTGTGATAAAATACCATGACCAAAGGCAACCAGGGAAGAAAGTTTATTTAGCCTTACAGTTCCAGAGTGCTAGAGTCCATAAGAGCCGTGGAGATGGCCTGGCAGCTGGAGCGTGAAGCTGGCTGACTATGGTTTTCATTCACACACAGGAAGCAGAGAGAGCAAGCAGGAAGTGGGGCCAGGCTAGAAGCCCTCAGAGGCAACGCCTAAAGACATACTTCTTCAGGCAAGGCTATCCCTCCCAAAGATTCCATAATCCCCCCAGCCAGCACCAACTGGGGGCCGAGTGTTCAAATACATGACCCTATGGGAGATATTTCTCATTCAAAACACAACACGACCACCCTTCTCAAGCTCCAGGGTGTAAAATTATACATGTGAAAGGCTTTTTCTCAAGAAGAAGGTACCTCAGGGGCACCTTGCTTGCACAAAGCAACCTAGGAACTTGTTTCCCCGATGCATTTCTTCATTGTGACCAGCCCTCCAGGCACTCAGGGATACATGGGGGAAGGGAAGCATTACTGCTGCCCCAGCATCCGATCTTGGCATCATTCAGGCAGTGTTGGCTTTGCAGGCAGGCAGAACGCAAGAGCTGTGGGGTCCCAGAAGCTTCCACTCAGATTCGAAGGAAAGCCTGGGGAAGGAGGCAATGGATAACTGCCGGGGCTTGGCGGGACCTGGAGAGAAAAACTCTAGCTACAAATGGTGCCCAATGGGTTGCCAAGAGTTTCCACCTAAAACCTAAAAAAAAAAAAAAAAAGATTCTAAAACGAGCTAAAAACAGCTTCCTAGTTGTCTCTCTCAAGTTGATTGGTTCCTGGCGTGCGCGTTTGACTGACAGTATGACGGGAATGAGGCGTCTACAAGTGACACATTACGCTGAGTGGTAGATTTAGTCTTTGCTAGTACAAAAAAAAAAAAAAAAAGAGGTTTCTGGGCTACACGCTGCTTGGATAGAAGCACAGAACCACTGTTTCTAAGAGCTGATGGCTCCCAGAGCTAGCAGTGGCTCAGAGTTGGTGGTAAACGTACCACCGCCACGTTGGGAAGCTGAGATGGGCGGAGCCACCAGCCAAAGCTGCTATTTTAGCCCTAGTAATACTACAGATAACAGCACCAGATTCCCAGGTCGGCGGCGGCCCCTGAGAAGGTGATGTGGAAAGTTATGAGAGTGAAGCTGAAGACAGGATGGAGACTGTGGGGTACCCGATATGTCACAGGCGGCAATCAGAGTCAGCCAACCGAGAGCCGGGGGGCTGCAACTGGGAGGCCATAGGAGTGGAGATGCCCCAGTCCTTTGGGGTTCACACTGCTCTGGTTGCTATGGGATTTAACACCTGGTGGGCTGTGGTCTCATTTTGGTCCCATCTTCTCCTTTCTGTATTCTCATTTCTCCCCTTTAGAAGGGCAGTGTGGCCTAGTAGGTGGCTCGGTGGATAAGGTGCTTGCCATGCAAGTGTGAGGACTGGAGGTCAGATCCCCGGAACCCACGTGACAGCGAGGCAGGCAGAGCAGCTGTCTGTAATGCAGGAGGCAGAGACACGGCGTCCCTGGGGCAGACTGGCTAGCTGGACTAGCTAGAATTAATGACCCTGCCTCGACAAATAGAATGGGAAGTACAAATAGTGTGGAGAAAGACACTTGACATCAAGTTTGGGCTTCCACAAGCACATGTATACATGCATCTACACATGTGCATGAATTCATATGCACATACATGCACACCACACAATACATATCTAAAAACAAAGCAAAAAATGGGGCTGTTTAACCCTCTGCCATTGTATGTTGGCAGGGTGGGACCTGAATTTTTAATTTTTCAGGATCTTAAGGCCAAGAGTTTGTCTTGACTTTCAGAGACTTTGAAATTCGTTTTATTATTACTATTGCTATTATTATGGTTCTTTGTTTAGTTTAGTTTTAGTTTTTGTTGTTGCTGTTGTTTTTGAGACAGGTTTTCTCTGTGTAGCCCTAGATGTCCAGGACCTCCCTCTGTAGATCAGACTGGCCTCGAACTCAGATCCATCTGCCTCTGCCTCCCAAGTGCTGGGGTTAAGGGTGTGCGCCACAACTGCCTAGCATGAAATTAAACTTTTGAGCAATATTGGAACCATCGAGACTTTCGGGAGGGAATGAGTGTGTTTTGCATTATGAGATGAGCGTCAGCCTTTGGAGGCCAAGAGTGGAATGTTACAAGGTGGGTATGACCCTCAAAAGGGGTCTGAAATGAGCTAAGTCTTCCCTGCCTTTACATTTTTGTCTCGGATACTGGTCAGTGATGAGAATCTAACATAGTAGCATATAAAATTCATATCACAGAGCCTGACAAAAATAACTACTGCTTGTTTGTTTATTGTAGGCGAAATCCATGCATGTTTTTTTGTTTGTTTTGTTTTATTTTTCTTTCTTCTTTTTATAGAGCTGGGGATCTAACTCATTTGAGTGTACTAGAGAAGTACCCCACCACTGAGCTACATTCTGGACTCCAGGTGAAATCCATGTTTGGAAAGGACACACAACATCAGTCTGGACCGTCATTGGTCATTCGAGGGCAGCTACTGGTCTGTGGAATGCCATTCACCGCTTACTCTCACTTCCCACTCCTCAGGCCCTGTTCCTGGCTCCTCAGTTTTCATTTGCCCTTGAGCAGTGCCTAGGCAGAACAGGTTTTTATCACCAGAGCCCTCAGCTCTACAATGGTAGTGACCTGACAGATGGAGACAGGATGAGAGCTTTTCAGACCTTCCACTACAGCGTCTCCCGCCCCTTCAACTACTTGTCACCCTTTTTTCTAAAAGAAAAATCAAATCATGCCATGTTGGGGTCCTTTTTGCTTTGAAATGCCAACAGGAGGTGAACACAGTAGGGACTCCTGGCTAACTCCATCTCCTTCCTCCTGTCCTGCTGTTGATGATGGGAGCTTGGAAGCAATTTATCACAGTAATGATTGCTGATGCCAACACTCCGGTGACTGATGGCCACGTTACCTGGAGTATGTCTTCCGGGCTCTCTCTTCACTAAAGAGTAATTGTGGAGGGTTGGTGGAGATGGGGGTGGCTAAAGGCTGAGGCAGGGAGAGTCACAGCTCAGCTTCTCACCAGCCCTGAGGCAGGAGAGGCGGAAGGGATAGAAACTAATGGTTGAGGATGGCTCATAGAGAAAATGGCAAATCCATCCGTTTAGAAGGGTCTTTCATCTCTGCCTTTCTAACGGCCTCTGACATGCTCTCTCTAGAAAAATTCATCTCTGTAGAACCTGGAAAGGCGGATCAATGCCAAGTGAGTACTGTGAAAGTAGCCGACCGGGAAGAGGCTCATGTCCACTTCAAGGGCAGCCGAAAAGGAACAACACAGAGCTGCAGCAAGACAGGCTGAGGTCGGTGGAGGAAGACATCACTCCACCTAAGAAAGCTGCCTCGTGTGTGTGTGTGTGTGTGTGTGTGTGTGTGTGTGTGTGTGTGTGTGTGTGTGTGGTGTCCATTTATGCCTATGCCTGGAGAATGGGGCTCAATCATTTTAGCTGTACAACTTTTTAGAAAGCTCAGGATGGCTAGGAGTGGACGTGATGGGTTAGGCTGTCCAGTGCTGGTGTGTTCTCAGGACATCGTGACCAGTCTTGACTGGGGGCCAAAATCGTAGAAGTCTTCTCAGATACCCCACCACCAAAGCAGGGTGTATGTAAATTAAGGGATGCCATGGGTTAAAAGTGTCTCTTCAAAATCCATGTCCAGTGAGGAGTGGTGGCGAACTGGACTCTCCTCCCCTGGGCTGCAGTGGGGGAGTTTGATGATGGAGGAAACCTGCCCTAGTTAACTTTCTACTGTTGTGAGAAACACCATGACCAAAAGCAACTTTGGGGGGAAAGGGTTTGTTTCAGCGTATAGGTCATAGTCCTTCACGGAGGGAAGTCAGGGCAGGAACTCCAGGCAGGAGCCTGGAAGCGGAAACCGAAGCAAAGGCCATGGAGAAACTCTACTTACTGGCTTGCTCAACCTGCTTTCTTATCCATCCAGGACCACCCACTATGGGATAGGTCCGCCCATGGTAATCAATTACCAAGAAAATGCCACACAGCCTTGCCTATAGGCAATATGATAGAGGCATTTTCTCAATCAAGTTTCCTCTTCCCAGATAACTCTGGGTTGTGTCAAGTTTTCTCTCTCTCTCTCTCTCTCTCTCTCTCTCTCTCTCTCTCTCTCTCTCTCTCTCTCTCTCACACACACACACACACACACACACACACACACACACACACACACACCAATGTAACCAGGACAGAATCCCTTGGATGGGAGGGAGCTGATGCCATGTTAAAAAAGAGATGTCACATAGATGAAGCAGAAACAGCTGGACTCTGTGTCCCTTCACTCCATCATGATGCATGGGGCAGCTAACAGGGGAGGTGGAAAGAGTAACACTGCCCTGAGATCCTTGGTTTCCTGGAAGAAAAAAACCAGGTAGGTCTTAACCATCACATCTTGGGAGGAATGGCTGCGGAGATATGGAGGGAAAGGGGAGGGCCAAACACAGGACAGACAGAAGCATCATGGTCACAGCCATGTGTCTCTTGCCAAGTCCTCTGCCCCATCTCCTGCTCCACGCCCCAAAGCTTGTCAGACTGCCTATCCCAAATGCTTGGCTTAGGAATGTGGGGAACAACTGCTTGGCTGTCATCCCTCCGCCCAGAGCTGCTCAGAGTTGGTGTGAGACTTGAACTCTGATCCCTTTGTCTGGCCCAGCCCTTTCTTCTCAGCAACCTTCTGCCGGGTCATCATGCTGGGTCCTCAGCAGAGGCTGGGAAAGCACTAGGTCCAGGGACTCCAGGCGCTTGGCTCCCTTCGCTTGCTCCTTAAATACGGAAACCCCAGCAGGGTCCCTTTCCTTGTCTGCACTACACCACGGTCACAATCTCTGTGGGAGTAATTGCAGGACTAGTGTAGTGATGGGTTATTTGATTTTAATATATATATTGTACCACATCTTCAGAAACTCCCAGATGTTCTGGCAAAGGAATTCTGTCGACAAGGTAAAAGGGGCCAGGGACCAGGTCTAGTCCGGTCCAGTGGTCCATTCTCTAAGAAGAGGACATGAGTTGTCCAGAATTGCTAGGCCTGGGTATTGCCTGGATCTGCTCTGAGGGCTGGTGCCTTGTCCCATTTTCCAGGGAGGGGACCTGCTGGAGGGGAAGCAGCCCCACTAATTGCTAATAAAATGTCTTTTGTTCTTAATGAACAGCCTGTCTTCTGCCCCCATCTTGGTGCATTCTCTTGCTTTCTAGGAATGGAACGGCCTGAGGTTCAGTGGGGGTGGGAACACCCACTCCTTGCTCCCCTGCCAATCACGTCCTTTCAGAGAACCTGGAAGCCTGGGCTCTGGTTTTCCCTGGGGGAGTGGATGGGGATAGAGGTCCTGGGAACTTCAGGGATAAGAAAAGGAGGTAGACGGAGGGGGAAGATATGTCACCTTGATAAGAATGATGAGCAAGCCTTGCCAGATTCCTGCAGGAAGCGCGTTCTTAAGCTCGCCTCTTGCTTTTTTTCATCTGAGGGTACCACTGCCCTCCATCGCTCTTCATCTCCCTCCTTCCGGACGGCTCAGGAAGGAGAATTCTGGAACTGGCTCACATTTGATTCTGGGCTAATTTGAGGGGCGGAAGGTGGCAGAGAGAGGCAGTGATGAGTGGTTAGAGCTCAGTCACTCCCTCTCTCTGGTTCCCACTCTGCCCTCCCCCACTGTGTTTTGAGGTTGCCAAGGAAACCACACAACCGATCTGTGATCTGCATCTTCTATTTTGTTACCTCCCCCCACCCCCCCCCCACCCCCCCCCACCCCCGCAAGAAAACTTTGTGAGGCCAAATCAGTGGGAGTGTTGTCAGAGCCCAAGATGGTGGGCAAAGAGGGGCTGCTGGTGTCCTCCCACACAGCTGTACGTGCGTGTGTGCACACTGCGCGCGCGCGCGCTGCGCGCACACACACACACACACACACACACACACACACACACACACACACACACACAGGCCTGCATAGGCAGAGCTCACGCCATTCCCTAAATCCTCTCCCTCCAACACACAGGTGGCTCCAATCACCCAACCCTACCTACTGAGAGTAGAAAAAAAAAAAAAAAAGAAACTGGGAAGAAAACCCACCCTGCCCACCCCAAGCAGAGGCATGCTCCACATGCTCCCTCCTCCTCTCCTCTGAACCTGCTGGGCTGATGGGGAACAGGTGCCACCCAGCAGACCACCCTAGGGATGAATCTCTGGGGAGCCAGAAGAAGCAAAAGGGTGATCCAGAAGGTTCCTGTGGGAGTCACATGTGTGACCCTGAGAAGGACACCGAGATTCGCTAGTGTCACAGCAGCTCCGTGGCAGGGTAAGCTCAAGCATTTTCTGGGTACCATCGGACAAGGTCAAACGATCTGAGGTTCTGCTGGTCAGTTCAGCTTTGCCCTCTCTTGGCTGAGGTGCTGAGGACAAAGGGCCACTTTCCATACATCAGCCACAAAGCCTGTGACTGTTGTGGTGTGTGTGTGTGTGTGTGTGTGTGTGTGTGTGTGTGTGTGTGTGTGTGTGTGTGTTTACGTATGAGGAATCCATCTTTCATTGCTCTTCCACCTTATCCATTGAGACAAGGTCTGTCAGTCATACCCAGAGTTCAAGGAAGTACTGGTCTTCCTAGACAGCTTGCTCTGGGCATCCTCTGTCTCTGCTCTCCAAAGCTAGACTTACAGGTGGGCCACCATGCCAGCATTTACATGGGTTCTAGGAATCCAAACTTTATAACCACTGAGCCATCTTCCCAGCCCCTGGTGGTTGTGTTTCTTGGGAGGCCTGAGGGTTTAATACGTAGACAACTGGGGAACAGTGAGAGGCGTCTGATGTGATGTAAGAGGTTTGCACAGGTAGCCTGGAGTGAATCCTGTCTAGAAGGCCAAGGCCTGTTTAAAATTAAGTGGTAGGACAGCCATGGTGACACATACCTTCAATCTCAACACTCATAAGGTAGAAGCAAGAGGATCTCTGTGAGTTCTAGGCTAACCTGGTCTACATAATGAACTCCAGGACAACCGGGGCTACACAGTGAGACCCTGTCTCAAAGAAACAAAATAAAACAAATAAAAAAGTCTTAGGCATGAACTTCAAAAGTCAGGAAAAGGGATGTTGGTGAAGGGAAGGAACTCTTCTGATATGTGACAGGACTTCATGTTAGGGTGCCCAGGCTAGACCCATTCCTCACTGCCCACACCCCACCTACAACAGGTAATTGTTGCTCAGGCTTGCACCACTCCCTACAGGCCTGGCTGTTTATCTCTCCCAAGGCATTTGTTATAGATTTTTTCTTTTTTATATTATTATTATTAAGAGATTTTTCTATTCACTTTGCATACTAACAGATTCCCCTGTCCTCCCTCCTCCTGCCCCCCAGCCTTTCCCCCCAACCCACCCCCTATACCACTCTTGGGCATATACCCAAGGAATGCTTAATCATACCACAAGGACACATGCTCAACTATGCTCATAGCAGCATTATTCATAATAGCAAGAACCTGTAAACAACCTAGGTGCCCCTCAACTGAAGAATGGATTAAGGAAATGTGGTACATATACACAATGGAGTAGAGAAAAACAATGACATCATGAGGTTTGTAGGCAAATGGATGGAACTAGAAAATACCATCCTGAGTGAGGTAACCCAGATTCAGAAGGACAAACATGGTATGTACTCACTCATAAGTGGATACTAGATGTAAAGCAAAGGATAACCAGACTGCAACCCACAGATCCAGGGAGGCTACCTAGCAGGGGGGACCCCGAGGGGAGGAGAAACAGATTTTCTTATCTTCATGTTCGTCTTCCTCACTAGCCTGAGGGTTTCTTTTGGAGTCTCCACTATCCCCTGACCTACAGCGGGTGCCCCTAGCCAGAGCTCCAGAAAGTTGTGAGGGAGTTACTGAATGAACGCGTCTGTGGGAGGCTCCTCCCCTGGTAGAACCTCGGTTTATAACCTGTCAAATGGCTGAGTGGGCTGCACGGGAGCCTCACCATGGAGACGAGTCTGGAAACCAGGGAGTGAAGCTAGCTTAACAGTATTAGAGAGAAAGACAGTTAGCAGATGACCCTGTTCACTAAAGGGCTGTGGGGTACACCTTCTAAAAGGCTCGCGGAGAGGGGCCTGCTGGGGTGTACATCCAACAGTAACCGGTCGGCTTCGGTTGCCGAAAACCCAGAATCACCACTGCTTTATAGTCATTAAGCCCCATTGTGAGGGTAATTATACAAAGGCCTGCTGCAGATACCTGGGCCAGGAGTGGGCTGGGACTTTCTGGAGTGTTCCACCTCCCCTTTGGGGGGAAACATCTAGAAAGATATAGGAGGGCAGGAAGAGCGACTTAAAATAGAAGGGAGAGCAGCACCAGGAGAGTGTGGGGGCCAAGCCTCGGCATGTTGACAGAGCAGGGAGGGAAGAGCAGAGCTGGAGCCAAGCAGCCCTTGGCAGAGAAATCTAAGGCACAGAATAAAGCCTGCTGTCACCACAGAGGGGCAGCTAAGCAGAGAGGGAATGCTTGCTTCAGTCAATCAAACACCGAATGCAAGCCTTCTGCCTGTCCCAGGCACCGCTAGAGCACCGGGAATCTGAAAGCATATGACTCTGAGACGTGCAAACCCTTGCCTTCCGGGGTATATAGCACAGTGACAGCGATCCATACGAAACCCGCAGCGGCAGACATTGATTTGGTAGATGTATATAATGCATCAGGAACACCATATAAGTGCTTCCCCGGCCTGGAGGAAGGGCCTGCTGAGCTCAGTGTTGAAGGATATGCTAGGCAAGGAAAGAAAATAAAAGGCACACACACACACACACACACACACACACACACACACACACACACACACGTGTAAACTATGAGGAACACAGAAGCAGAGATGGGAGGCAAGGTGGAGGAGAGAAGCAGGGGACAGACAGCTGCATGTGCTCAGCCAGGGAGTCTGGACCTCCACCCATAGGCGATGGAGAGTCATTGGTGGTTTTTATTGGGGTAGGACCTGTTAAGATTTGAGTATTGGAATTGTCACATTGACCACTGTATGAGAGGGGAATTTATGTGAAGGGAAACTGTAGTCAGGGAAACCAATTAGGAGTTGATTACCATTGTCAAGGTGAAAGATGTGTGTGCCATTATCTGAGATGGAAGACTCAAAAGGAGGAGATGGTTAGCAGGACAGGGTGGGAAGGAAGAAGATGACATGTTTATACATTACCTAAAGACACAGGCACCTGAAACAGAGGGAGAGAGAAGAGCTTGAGACCAGGGCTCCGGCTCCACCAGCAAATGAATCATGGTTTTGGTAAATGTACGTGGACAGACACTCCTCAAAAGTAAACATCGGGCAGCAGTGACACATACCTTTAATCCCATCTCTCGGGAGGCAGAGACAGGCAGATCTCTGTGAGTTCGAGGCCAGCCTGGTCTACAGAGTGAGATCCAGGACAGGCACCAAGACTACACAGAGAAACCCTGTCTCAAAAAACCAAAAAAAAAAAAAAAAAAGATGCTATAAGAAAATATCCAAGGCCAAACTGTAATGAGAGGCGCCCCAAGGCAAAAGGTCTCTGAAGAGGAGAACTGTAATTGGAGATTGCTGAAGGAGTGAGAGGCACAGGAAGAGAAACAGAGGAGGCTGAAGGCCACAGAGGCCAGCCAGCTCAAGGAAAGGAGGAGAGCAGGGTCATTGGCAGTAAAATGGTCCAGAAAACTGAAAAGTGGCCATGGGGGTTGGCAAAGAAGGAGATGACGATTTTTCTTTAAAAAAAACAAAACAAAACAAAATAAATTGTACATGTTTTGGGCAAGATATTAGCAAGTGTCGTCTAGGTTGAGTACACGGGAATTGCTTTATTCTTTCTACAATGTTTCTATAACTTTGAGATTCCATGGAAATAAATGTAGCCTGGGGCTGCAGTACAGCTCTGTGATAGAACCCTCACCTAGGCCACGGAAGACTCCGGATTCCAACCCAGCGCGGCAAACAACTGGAAGAGAGGCAAAGCTACTCCTGGGACAGCGGTGGCACTGAGCTCCTGAGCTCAAGCCACCCTCTTGCTTCAGTCTCCCAAGGAGCTGGGACACCAGGCTGTGCCTCTGCAGTGAGAGAGGTTCTACTTTAAAATAGTGGAGCCTGGGCTATGGACGCAGCTCTGTTGGCAGTGCACCTGCGTGGTGTGCAAGCAGCTCTCGGTTCAGTCCCCAGCCACCACATAAGCAGGATGTGGTAGTGCATGCCTGTAAGCTCAGCTCTTGGGAAGTGGAGGCAAGGAGACGAACCCAAGGTCACCCTCAGCTACGTAGGGGTTCAAGGCCAACCTGAGATACATGAGACCCTGTTCCCAAAATAATAATCATTCAGATTCCTTGTTAAGGTTCACTTGGGCATTGTCTTAGTCACTGTTCTATGGCTGTGAAGAGACACCGTGACCAAGGCAACTCTTATAAAAGAAAACATTTAACCGGGGCTTGTAGATGGATTTTTCTTTGGGTGGCCAGCTCACAAACAAATGACACTGAGACTTATTATTAATTATGAAAGCTCGGTCTATAGCTTAGGCTTGTCCCACTAGCTCTTATAACTTAAATTAACTCGTTTCTATTCATCTACGTGCTGCCACGTGACTCATGGCTTTTACCCCTCCTCCTTGCTCCCTCTGAGTCTGGCTGGCGACTCCACTTTTTTTTTTCTCAGAGCTCTCTGTGTCCAGAAGTCCTGGCTATACCTCCTGCCCAGCTATTGGCAGTTTAGCTTTTTATTAAACCAATTACAGTGACATATCTTTACACAGTGTAACCAAATATCTCCCAACAGGGGCTTGCTTACAGTTCCAGAGGCTTAGTCCATTATCATCACGGCGGGAAGCACACGGGCAGACATGGTGCTGGAGACATAGCTGAGAGCTATATCTTGACCCCCAAGCAGTGAGACTGAGAGAGTGAAACCTCAAAGCCCACCCCCAGTGACACACTTCCTCTAACAAGGCCACACCTACTCTAAAAAGGCCACACCTCCTAATCCCTCTAAAGTAGTGTCACTCCCTGATGACCAAGCATTCAAATATATGAACCAATGGAGGCCATTCCTATCCAAACCGCCACAGGCATGGTGACTTATACCTTTAGATCCTGACACCCAGGAGGCAGAACCAGGCAGATCTCAGTCTCAAGAGATCTCAAGAAAAGCAAAACAAAACAAAGCACAGAAAGAGTAATTTTACCGTTTTAGTGATTTGGTGTGTTTCCTTCCAGATCCATTCTCTCTAGTTGCTGCTGTTGCAAAAGCAGAATCAAGCTAGTACACATCACTATAAATGCAGCTTGAAAACACATCTCAGGAATTCTTGTCGTGACAGAACATATACTTCAACTTCATTCATCAACACTGCCTAATACTCTATCCAATCCCCTCTTCTCAAATTCCTGGCCTTTTTCAAATACATATACATACATACATACATACATACATACATACATACATACATACATACATATATATATGAAAGGTATATGTATGCACAAATGTATAAATACAATGTGCTGAGTCTGTTCAGTGCTGCTTGTATGTATAATTTCAGGGCTGACCACTTGGTATTGGACAACTAATTGGGAGCTTATCCTGGGGAAGACTATTTCTCCTTTTCTCACAATCGTTCAATTGTTAGCTGCCTGTAGTTCTTTGTCTAGAGTTCTTTGGGTCTTGTTTAGGCAGCCGTGTTGTTGAGGTATCACGGGACAAGCTTTCCCATTGTGTCTAAGAGACACAGTCTGGCAGCAGATTTCCTGGGCCTCTGGCTCTTACAAGTTTTACACCCTTCTTCCATGATGTTCCCAAGCCTTGTATGTAGGAGCTGTGCTATAAATGTATCCACCGGAGCTGGGCACCCCATGATCAACGGCTCTCTGCATTTTGACCAGTTATGATTCTCTATAACTTACTGTCTATTGCGAAGAGAAGTTTCTTGTGTGAGCATTGGGAGCTACATTTATCCGTGAGTATAAGGATAGGTATTTAGAATGCTGTTAGGAATTATTCTGGTTTAGTAAAGTGGTGGTAGTAGGTTCTCCCCTAAGATCCATGACCTCACTGGCCCCAGGCCGTTGGCCAGTTTTCCATCTTGTTGAGTGGCCTTAAGTCCAATTAGGTATCTGTTGGTTATCGCCAAGGTATGACTGCCATCCTTAAGGACATCTTGCCATGCTGGTCAATATGGTTCATAAGCTTCATGACTGAGGAGGGCTATTGGTTTCCTTCTGTCCTTGGCAGCTTGCATAGCACCTTCCAAGACTGTGAAAGTTAGTCCTCAGATGAGATCCAGTTCGGGTCTTCTTAGTCCTGCATCCCGAGTCCATGGTGTCTTCAGCAATAGGGAATCACCTTTAACCTGTGGGAGGCAACCAGGGGCAACAGCAATAGCCTGTATTGTTTTAGGAATCTCTTGAATTTCCATGACCAACACTTTGAAAGCAGGTTTCTCATGCCTGGAACTGGGAATTTTATTAGGTAGTCCATGGCTCTTTGGGGAAGCATGGTCAACCCAAGTGGCTTAACTACTTCATATAAAGTATATGTTGTTAAATAAATTCATTTAATCTCTCTCTCTCTCTCTCTCTCTCTCTCTCTCTCTCTCTCTCTCTCTGTGTGTGTGTGTGTGTGTGTGTGTGTGTGTGTCTGTGTGTGTGTGTGTGTCTGTGTGTGTGTGTGTGACACAGAGGCTAATATGTATTATAAGTAATTTGGGGCAAATAAAAAATAATATGATTTCTTACAGCCTTTTCAAACAACCTTACTTTTTCCTCCCTCCCTCCCTCCCTCCCTCCCTCTCTTTCTGTATTGACCTCTCTCCCACTTGGTCTGTTTTTTTGTTTTTTTAGTTTTTCCGAGACAGGGTTTCTCTGCATAGCTTTGTGCCTTTCCTGGATCTCGCTCAGTAGCCCAGGCTGGCCTTGAACTCACAGAGATCCGCCTGGCTCTGCCTCCCGAGTGCTGGGATTAAAGGCGTGCGCCACCACCGCCCGGCTTGGTCTGTTTTTTGAGGCATGGTTTCTCTATATTGCCTAACCTGGCCTCCTGGACAGCTGGGATTACCGGTACACATCAAATTTCATCATTACTAAAATTTAAAAACATAACCGGGTATGGTGGCGTATATCTGGCATCCTAGAACTTGAGACATGGAGCAGGAATTCACGTACTGAGTTTAAAGCCAATCTCAACTACACAAAAGCCTGGCTTAAAAAAAGAAAAGAATGAAAACAGAGCCCGTGAGATGGCTGGGTGGGTAGAGAGAGGCGCTTGCCCCCGAACCTATCAACCCGAGTTCTGTCAGAGCTCCAGAACCCACAGGAGTAGGAGAGAAATGACTCCACAAAGTCATCTTCTGACTTCTACATCCACACCATGGCATGCATATTTGCATCTCTCTCTCTCTCTCTCTCTCTCTCTCTCTCTCTCTCTCTCTCTCTCTCTCTCCCCAATAACAACAACAATAACAGACTTCTTTAAATTAAATAAAATCATAAAGAAAACAATGAAAATAAAACAACATATAGCCATTCGCCTGCTTCCTTTCACAAATAAATGCTAACAAACTGACACACACATTTCAAATTCGGTTTCAGACTCTATGGGCTTCCCTGGGTAGGCCTCACTGAAAAGCGCTCAGGGGAGGCTAGAAGTTGCCTAAAACTGAAAGCTGACCTCCCTGCCCCCTCACTTGAGGCTCCAGGGTCAGTATCTCCTTACTATGACATTCCCTAGCTTCCCGAACTGGCCTCTCTCCACCTATGCCCCTCCTCAAGCCATAGTAGACAGCTGGAATTACGATTTCCACACAGCTCTTTCCCACTTCATTCTGCTGCCCCACACCAATCTACCTGGAAAGGGAGGACCCAGTCATCCTTGGGACCCAGCACGAAAGTCACCATGCTGCCTTTCCTCTCTGTTCCACCCACTACCAGGCTGGTCTAACCTCTGCCCACTTCAGGCCTCCACCGTGGTCTCCCTCACAGTCCTTCCCCAAGGCCTTGCTTTCCTGTGTCGATCTGCAGACCACCTAGTCCAGCACACTAAGTCCTTTGAGGATGAGATTCCTGTCTTGTTCTTTGCAGACCCCAGAGCCTGGCACCCACTGCGGCAGGTACAGTCAACAAATGCCCTTAAGTCACCTTGAGTCAGGTGTGGTGCCTCACACCTGCAAACCCAGCATTCGGGAGGCTGAGACAGGAGGATGACTGTGAATTCAGATAAGCCCTGAACAACTGAATGAAATGAATATATCCTGGTTAGTCACTCGGTTGTGGAGCACAGGGATTGGGAATCCTGAGACTGTTTCCTTAGGGTCTCCATTAACAAGGATACTCAGGACTCGTGGGGGACTTCCAAGGTCACAACTGGCAGAAGCGTCCTAACAGCTGAGAAGCCCGGGTCTCCCTAGACCTCCCCTGGCTCTCCTGCCGGTTGTGCCCGCCAGATCCCCTCTCAGAGGAGTCAGCAGGGAGCACTCAAAGTGCTCCTTACTTTATGGTCAATGGCCCAGACTCATCGGCCCGCTGATCGCATGCAGGCTGCTTGGAGCCCAGCCCCAATTCCCATAAATGGAAAGCGATTTGCTCTCATTCCCAAGATGAATCATTTTTGTTTTAATAGCCTGTCCTTTGCTGGCACCGCCACAGCTGTCTGCTCTGCCTTTTGGCCGTCTGTTGGCAGAATGCCCTTCTGGGCCCTGTTAATTACCAAAAAGGGGGGTATAAGGAGGAGGGAACCCCTCCAGGAGAGGGCAATGGTCAGCAGTGGGACAAAGTCAACGCAAATGACTTGACTGTCCTTCCTGGGCCCGGGGAAAAGTCCCAGGCAGGTGGAGAGCCGCTCCGAGCATATTGCCCACTCGGGGAGCCTTTTGGGTTACAAGACAGAGCTAATGGGATGGAAAATCCAACCCACCTGTGCTGGCTAGTTTTATGACAACTCAGCATGGGCAGAATCATTTGGCCTGTGGGAGAGACTGTGGGACATTTTATTGATTAATGATTGATATGCGAGAGCCCAATTCACTGTGGTCAGCGCCATCCCCGGGCTGGTGGTCCTGGGTACTATAAGAAAGCAGGCTGAGCAAGCCATGAAGAGCAAGCCAGTGAGCAGTAGCCCTCCTAACCTCTGCACCAGCCCCTGCCTTGAGTGGCTGGCCTGGATAACGGACAAGCTGTAAGCTGAGATAAACACTTTGGGTCACGGTGTTTTATCACCGTGATAGAAAGCGAAAGACGCTACCTGAGTCCCTAGGGAAAACTTCCCTCCACATTGGACAGTCTGACGGTGTGGAGACCAGGGGACTGAGGCGGGGGGTGGGAGCAGGATTTTGCATGCTGAAAATGAACAGAGAAGCTTCAGGACCCAGATTTAGTTTTCACATTTGCTGTAAAATACATACCATGGAGAGACAATTCAACCAATGCCTATATTCCTTCTGAGGTGACTATTCTGGGATGTTGTGAAGGAAAACAGCCATACATTCTCCCTCTGCAGGAGAGGGATGGTCAGGGGGCATCCTGCTGTTAGCTAAAAGAGTTGCTGCTGGCCCCTACCCGTGGTGCTGGTTCTGGGACCCAAAGGCTATGTTGCTGATGCCTAGGACCTGTCTCTGGAGCCTGGATTATAAGAAGCCCCAGGAGTGCGCTTACCCCTCCACAATGAGAGACTTATTGCTCAGATCATGACCTGGCTGGAAGGGCTGCCCGAAGACAGACTTTGGAGGACACTGACCTTCCTGCCTGCCTACCTGGCAAGTAAGGACATGCTGTGTGTGTTTCAGGGTTGCGGGGAGGTCCTAATGCACAGGAATGGCGCCGGGCCTCAGAAGACCACCTCTTGCCTAAGGGACCTTGAACTTCAGAAGTTTAACTTGTTCCACAAGCTATAGCCTGGCAGGGAGGAAGAGGGAACCAAGACCTGTCCCCAGTGAACAGCTGAGCCCGTAAGAGATTTCCTGTAGCCCACCAGGCCATTTCTAAAGATTCTGTGGGGTTGGGGGGGAAACATCGGTTTTTGGATAACATACAGTCTCCGTGGAAGATGGCCGACTGTCCCTGCGCCTTCCTCCTCTCTCTCTTCCCTCTCTTTGCCTCCCGTAGCCTGTCTCCCCACCACACCTGCTTTGTCCTGTGACTACAGACTCTCAGAAGCCTAGCCACCCATGACCTTGACAGAAGTTTTCTTACAAGCACCCCTCCTCACCCTCCTTCACTCTGACACACTGGAGCTCCCTGAGCAGCCTGGGGAGCCCGAGGGGAGCCAGGACCTCAGAGAAGCTGAATGATAAAGGCCAGGATTCTTCCTCTCCATCCTACCTCACATTGTGGCCAGAGCAGAGTAGAAGAGCACAGTGACACAGGTTTCCTAGACGAAGATGTCTCTGCAGAAGAAAGGGCCTGAGACTCATCTAGTAGGTATTTTCCGGGGACCTACTATGTGTCGCGCACTGTTCCAGGAACAGACACGCACGCAACAGGACAACCCAGTTCTTCTTGAGCTTCTCTTCTACAGCTCTTCAGGATCAGCCTGAGGAACGGTAAGGGGGGTTGGCAGATCCAGGGTGAGGCCCGGAACGCCACTCTCCCATCTACACCCTCAGGAGGGGAGCATGGGCACTGGAGTGATGACTGCTTAGGAGAGGGTCTGTCAAGCATGAAAGTAAGTGCAGTGGTGGAGTGCCCGCCTACCATCTGCAAGGTCCTGGGTTCTATTCTCACAACACCACAATAAGTGTAATGCAATTTGAAAATTAAAAATAAACAATGAAAAAGAAAAAAGAAGAAGAGTAAGTAAAGGCCACTGGGCTGATTGGAAAGGTGACCAGAGGAAATCCCAGCTATCAGTGCCTCCTCCTCCTCTCTGCCTCCTCCTCCTCCTCCTCCTCCTCCTCCTCCTCCTCCTCCTCCTCCTCCTCCCTCCTCCTCCAGGCCTGTCCTCACAAGCCTCCAGCTGACAGTTTGCTCCAGTACAACTTGGTGTCATGAACGGATGCTGGGCCAGCTCCCAGACAGCTCCCCTGGGAACAAAAAACCGATAGGGGAATACCCGCCTTCCTTACAAAGGCCCAGATGGAGCAGAGATAAAGGAGAAGCTGTGGGAGGCAAGGGGTTAACTGGGCCAGGTTAAACCCCTGAGATAATGTATGCGAGTACTCCAGAAACCCTGATGCCTGTCGTTCTCAGGAAATATTGATCTTCTTCCCTTCCCTTGTCTCCGCTGGACAATTCAAATGCTTTATTAATCATTTATAACACCACCATAGTAATAAGATTCATAAAATTTCAAATTGGAGGAGCTCAGCTCTGCCCTTCTGACTTCAGCTCAGAAAGCCACGTGCCTTGCCCTCTGCTGGGA